ATCACAGCTCACAGCAACCTCAAACTCTTGGGCTTAAGCGATTCTCTTGCCTCAGCCTCCCAAGTAGCTGGGACCACAGGTGCCTGCCCTACTGCCTGGCTATCTTTTTGTTGCAGTTGTCATTGTTGTTTAGCAGGCCTGGGCTGGATTCAAACCTGCCAGCCCTGGTCTATGTGGCCGGCACCCTACCCACTGAGCACAATGACCTGTGGGCGCTGAGCCCACAATCCTAACTTTAAATGCTCACTTAATACCTGATGAAGTAGACACAATATAATTTAAAGTCAATGTTTCCGACATGCAGTTGCTCACCATTTTTCAAAAATATTTATCATATTATTATAATAAATATCTTAGTCCATATAATTGTTCTCCTGAAGTTTGGAGAATTCCCACAGGATAAATTCTCAAATGTCATTCAAAGGACATTAACATTTTATAGCTCTAGATGCTTGTTACCTAACACCAAATAGCATTTTAAATGGTGAATTACTTAAAGTGAAGATTTCTTAAAAAGAGTCATTATAGTAATTGTGTCAAATCACTCTTTTCTTCTTCCAAATCAACTGTATTTGTTAGTCTGAAGTGTTTATTTGGGCCTCCATCATATTCCACGTGTTTACTTTTCCATCATTCCAAAGATACTACATTTTACCAATTGGAAATGACTTCATGTTTGTACCAAGATACACAAAAGAAATCCTAATAATCATGGGCAGTTTGATGATTCAAATTTTGGTCAATTCAAAGATGATTCTAACCTATTGCTTGTTTGTAAACTGAAAAGTTGAGACTGAATGCTAAATATACAATATTATTACTTAAAATTACAATCTCAGTAACATAGATTGTGGGACAGAAAATCACACTCAAGTAGCTCTCAATTTAGAGAGTTCTACTTATGCTCTTCCCAGCCACGCCTGCCACGAGCTGCACACAGTAAGCAGTGAGGGCAGACAGCTGTGCAGGGAAGGGGACGGGCCTGACCCACTGTATCTTTTATGACATAGGAATTTTAGTGACATCACTTTTTAGATAAAATTGTAGCAATCTGTGGAATTCAAATCGAGGTATATACCAGAAGAAATCAGAATATAAACCAGAACATATTTTGGAGGAATGTGACGGAAGGTTTAAGGTGCTCAAAGCATGCTAGTAATGGAGCTCACTGGTATCCTGAAAAGAAATAGTAAGTAGTTTCAACTTAATTCACCATTACCTACTCTAACAAATCAGCTCCTTCTACTGTACTGTCCAAATCAATACCATCTACTCAGTTCTCCAAGACAGAAATCCAGGGTCATATCTGACCCTTTCTGCAACCACGAACCTGCCTGTGAACACTACTAAGTCCTGCCAGTTTTATTTCCTTTAGTTTCCATATTTCTCACATCTGTCCCCTTTATGCCACATAGTATGAACGTCAGAATCCCACTAACACACATGTATTTGAATTCTCTTCTACCAATTGCTAAGTGACCCTAGGTGATTTTAAATTCTTTTAAGTCTCAGATTCCTTACCTATTTTTTTTTTTTTTTTGCAGTTTTTGGCCAGGGCTGGGTATGAACCTGACACTACCAGTATATGGGGCCAGCACCCTACTCCTTGAGCCACAAGCGCTGCACTCCTCACCTATTCTAAACTGAAGACAGTAACTTCTGGCTCAGCGCCTGTGGCTCAAGTGGCTAAGGCGCTAGCCACCTACAACTAAGGTGGCGGGTTCAAATCTAGCCTGGGCTACCAAACAACAATGATGGCTACAACCAAAAAATAGCCGGGCGTTGTGGCGGGCACCTGTGGTCCCAGCTACTTGGGAGGCTGAGGCAGGAGACTCGCTTGAGCCCAGGAGTTGGAGGTTGCTGTGAGCTGTGATGCCAGAGCACTCTACCCAGGGGGACAGCTTGAGTCTCTGTCTCAAAAAAAAAAAAAGACAGTAACTTCTTTGTCAGGGCATTGTGGAAATTAAAAGAGATTAAGAGATTAAAGTGCTTAGTGAACATGTAACACAGCCAACACAAAAGGCCGGCCCTCATCAGCACCGCCACTAGTGTAAGTGCCCTAATCTCTTCCCCTAGCATTATCTACCACATTAACCTCCCCTTCTCAGGCCCCCCAAGATTTGTCCCCCCTCCATTTCTCTATTACAGCCATGAGAATGTTTTACATACAAGCCGGTACACTGACTCAAACTTACCAAGCTATTTGTCACTCCCTGCCTCTATCTCTCCCTTTACCTGGACCCAAGCATCTGTTTTCCATAACCCCTCACTCTCACCTAGCTAAATCAGTCCCTGTCAGTGCTGCCACATACTTTTGGTTGTAGACTTAGTAAGTAGTAATTTGTGTGTCACAGTAAACTATCTCTCCGCATGCAAGTGAAGTGGACACCTGCCTGTCTGTCTCTGCACACTGCAGCCTGTGCAGTGCGGAGCACGTGGACCCCTGCCCGTCTGCCTCTGTCTCCGCACACTGCAGCCTGTGCAGTGCGGAGC